CCCCAAACCAGAAAGAAATCTTTTCTCTTTTTTCTCAATTTTATTTTTTGAGAGATCCTGTTTATATGAGGTTGTCCACATTTTGAATTTCATAAAGAAAATTCTTAGTAATGATCAAACATGGGCACCTAAGTCGCCAGTGAGAATGAGTTTTCTTCAACGTCAAGTCGACGTCGAAACAGTCGAATAAACGTCACTTTGTCTCCCAAATCCACATCTTTTCGATGTCGTTCCGACGTTGATTTACGTTTCCATTCCTCACTGGGCGCGTCGTGTCCAAACCAAGTCTGGTAAGTAATGTACTGTAGGAACGACTTTTACCATCTTAAAACACGGCAAAATAGACGCAAAGTAAATATTGTGAACACATAACAAAATTTGAACTAATTCCACACCAATCTTGAAACTATTTAGGTCAAAGTTATATTGGAAATTAATAAGCGGCGGAGAAAGAGGTTATGGGGTGTTCGGGGATTAGCTAGCACTAGTTGACCATTAATTATTTAAAAGATCGTCTATAAGATAACATTCCTTCAACGAGCGAACGAAACATATATCATACTATATAATCTGTTAATCATGGTCTATTACCCAAAATTCTTACCTCGGGTATTCCCCTCCTCTGGGTCTAGCCACCCCCGGCTCTAGCCCATTCGACGGGTCTCTTGTGTTCGTCTGGCTGCTGCTGCTGCTGCTCAGCGTGTTGTTGACGCGCGGCCGGCGCGGCAGCAACGCGGAGCGCAGCGCGGTCTCGGAGATCGGACGATGTTGCATGGAGCGGCGCGCTCAAATGGAGATCGAACAATGTGTTTCTGGTTGATTACAGCGTTCCTGTTACTTTTTTCACAAAAAGTGACTTAATCAAAAAGATTCAGAAGTTTTCACTCCACCAGAATCTCTGATTATCTCCTTACACCCCAAAAAGTGACATCGAACACTGTTGGAGCGTCGCGGCGAGATCGGACAACGTTGAAACGTCGGGGCGAGATCGGACAACGTTGAATTGTCGCGGCGAGATCGGTCAACGTTAAAATGTCGCGGCGAGATCGGTCAACGTTGCTAGGACCCGTCGAATGGCCGAATTTAGGGCTCAAGTCCGAATTTAGGAGCAATGACTTTACCTGCATCTGCTTAAACTGACCTTTAGAGGTGGGCTGTCATCGAATTCTATTTTCTGGACAACATCGGCCAAATCTTTAATAAAAGATCCGATGTGATCTTTCTGTAGCATCAGAAAGATCTGACCGTATAAGTTTGAGTAGTAGCCAAACATGGCGTCGATGCCATTAGAAGTTGGGCTGTGGATTACACCGCATATGATGAGCAGGTATGATAGCCCGTGTACGAGGCATGATACCTAGGATGAGAGAAATTTTCTGTAGTATTTTCTTATCTTAATACGTTCAGGCGCAGACCTCACTTTGAAAAATGTGGACGGGCTACGGTTTAAGTTTCAGAGATGACGGTCTGGGTTTGGCCTTAAAGGATGAAATCCAGGGACCAGTAATGTAACAAAAATAAACGTTATTGTTCTGAGTTTCTCGTTACGTTATCGTACCAATTACGTCATTAAGCATACGTGAGTTTCGCGATACGTAACAGTAACCGAATAAAGTTACATTTTGTATAGTTTCATTTTTAGTAACGTTACAAAATACGATCTAGACCGTGCGTCTGAGTTATTATGTCCGTTACAAATGTAACGTTGCACAAAACCGATCGAGGTAGTTACGTTACATTCTAGAGGTACGTTCTGTAACGTTACAGCTGAAACTGTTCCTGAAAAGGCAGAAGTAACGTTACGAATAACAGAACAATAACGGCCGGAAAAGTTACGTGACAAACATTTTCCCAAATCGCATAAAGGGTCGCACGTGCTACCGCCAGAGGCCGCAGCGGGCGAGTCTCGGGCGCCAGGCTCGATCTCCACCTATACCGCCGCCTCGGCCCGGCCCGCCCTCCTGTGAGAAACGGCGCAGAATCTAAAGTGATATGAACAAATCCTTGGCCTTCATCCGACCACATCCAGGGCAAATTCAGTCTTGTACCTTAAAGAATGAAACTTTAAAGCATCTCGCCCGCCCGGTGTCGAACCGCCAACTTTGACTACGGCTTCCCGATACGCTCACCATTGGGCCAGAGCGAATCGCTGGACGTGGCCGGTAGCAGGCAGCACACCACTCTGGTTTGCTCGCCAATTCCAGCCGGCTGGCGGCAGCAGCAAGCGGTGGCCAGCGCTCTGGCTCAGTGGGGAGCGTCTCGGAAAGTCGTCCCCGGGGTCGAGGGTTGCTTTTAAGTTTCTCCGTTGAGCGCTCGCTCGAAGACTGAACTTGCCCTGGATGCAGTCGGAGGAAGGCATGGACATGTTCCTATCGGTAGTAGGTGGTGATCGAGCCTGAGGCCCGAGACGCCCGAGGTGGCGTGGCGATGGCGCATGCGACGGGGGAACATTTTTGTAACGTAACTTTTGCGGCCGTTTATGTTCCGTTATTCATAACGTTACTTAGGCCTTTTACAGTTTCAGACCTGTAACGTTACAAAAAGTAACGGACTGGCTTTTACCACTTCGTTGCCGGTACGATTCGTAAGTTCCCAGTCAACAAAACAAAGACCCGAACACATCCCTGGTACAACCCGGTTGGGATGTGGGACGTCCCAGCCAGGACGTCCCACAGTACTACAGAATGCAACATTTTTTAGACCCTGAGCAGAAGATAAGCACCTCCCACCAGTACGTCCTGAGTGGGAGGTGATTGTCACATCCCGGAAGGGGCGTCCCCAGGAGGAACTTTCAGGTCCTGACCATCATTTTATGTAAAACAAAATGACAATATTCAAAAGTCTAGAGAGGTTCGATGAGTTACTTATTTAAGCCTTAATTATATTCATCCAGAAGCAGGTCCCAGAGGACTCGGTCAAGGTTGACAGAGTTTACAAAAATTATTGATGGCAGTCATGTGATGTTTCACTTGACCACAATTATACCTTACACTTGGCGAGGGGTCTATAAGAGAGGTATGCGGATGATCCGCGAGATTTAAATTAGACATCACATAAAATCTGAAATTGTGCATGCAAGTGAACATAGAGTGCAATTCGACTTCATGCCCCTTGCTTTCTACGCAAATAACGTAACTTTTCGAAATACTTATTATTTCGTACATTTTAACGCATAAATGATAAAACCTACGAGGATCGCGTCGCTAGCGCCATCTGTCGGCAAAATATAGCACAGCACATGGCTGCCACTGGCACTGACATACCAAAGACCTCCCGCAGCAGATGTATACAGGATGTTCAGCATCCTGCTAGTCTCCCTAACCATGACATCCCGAGCAGGTTCTTTGTAGTACGTCCTGGTGACATTCATACTGGCACATCCCTAGCAGATGCATACGTAACGTCTTTTCCAAAGACATGCTGGTCAGCACCCTGACTGAACGTCCCGAGGAGCAGCCCGACGGGTGCCCCTGAGGAGGTACTCATATGTTCCGTCCTGCCCGATGACATACTGAGTAGCTCCTCGGCGGGACAACCCAAGGAGCTTTACCGCAGGTATATCCTGAGGAGTAACTTCTCAGTACCCTAACTCAAAAGTACCTCCCAATCAGATCCCGGCCAAGATGTCCATGTGGTCGTGCTGCACAACACATCCTGATTTACTCCAAGGCATGTACTTTTGGGATGTCCCAGTAGCACGTGTGAGGGATTCGTGTGGGATGATCCCAAACTCCTCTCAAAAGTAAATGGGAGCTGCCTTGTTGACCGTAACGTAACGTTTGCGTAAAGTTCTTTACATGAAACGCTTTTTTGGGACCGGTACGAACTGTTACAAATTTTAACCGAACCGATGATGCAACCGTTCAGTTACCGTTATTTGTACCGTAACGACAAGAGGACGAAACTGACAGGTACACTATGTATTTTGTGACGTAACGGCAAAGCGGTACGTTACTAGTCCCTGATGAAATCATCTTCCGGTTTTCCAGGAGCAGCAACACCCTAGCAGTTCAAGGGGGCGTGACCACATAATATTCACGCCACACTGATGGACCAGCCTCATCCAATGGCGTGGTGACTAGTGGTAGCCGCACCTAACACAGGGGGTTTTAGTTCCATGTCAGCATGTGCTGCACACAAGGCTTGCCCAGCATGCCCCAGGAGCTGTGGTCACGCGTAGTCACCACAGAACCCCTAAACCATATCCTTCCGAGCATTCCGACAAAGTGTGGCCAGGAGTGGTCACGCACCACTCAAGGCCGTGGCCTTGAGCTGTGATATCCCGATGTCCTTGTGGTCACGCGTGGTCACACATCACTCGGGTGGCTCCTGGCAAGTTCCCCAACGACCTGTGGTCACGTCAAGGGGCCACCACTTCAACTTAAAATGTAAACAGGGTTACGTGACTGCGGATATTACCTAAATTGGGGGGAAAGCAAATGACTTTTGTTGAATTTCTGTCTCCAAAACTATTAAATTTGGACAATAAGGTGAAATTTAGTGACAATTTTTCTAAAATGTGGTCAACTCTCACACAGAATACACAAGGAATAGGGATTACACCCTCATCTGTACACAGGATTTCGTAAGTGGTGGCCCGCATGGTCACGCCACACTCAGGTCAAGACCAGTCCTTGTGAGTTGCTTCCGAGGGGTACATCACTCTTCAAAATGATGTGCAGCGATTTAAATCACATTTGATTGTAAACGATTCAGGATGATTTAAATTATTGTAATGATTATGATTGAAGAGTTTGGTAATAATTCGATACCTTAGACTAAAAAGCACGCAGCTCATCCGCGCGTTTCGAAGGGCACGCAGTTCAGCCGCCCGTTTCGAAAGACACGCAGTTCAGCCGCGCGTTTCGAAAGACACGCAGTTCCTATCTCTATAGCGGTAAACTGCGTGTCTTTCGAAACGCGCGGCTGAACTGCGTGTCTTTCGAAACGGGCGGCTGAACTGCGTGCCCTTCGAAACGCGCGGATGAGCTGCGTGCCTTTTAGTCTAAGGTATCGAATTGTCGGTGATTGTCGGTGATTAAAGCATGTGAGGGATTTAAAGTGGTCTACGGAGATTTAAGGAAGATTTAAGAACTAGTTATACAGGGTGGCCCACGCACCCCGGAGCAGTAGTCGGATAGGCAGACCCGCAACAGCACGCTCTCGGGCGAGGGCCGGTCCCGTAGTAGTCGGCTGGGCAGCTCTCTCTCTCTCGCTCGCACACTGTCTGCATCTCTTTCTACGACGGACGGACGACTGCGCAGCCAGCGCGCCTGGCCCAGTCGGCTACGGGACCGGCCCTCGCCCGAGAGCGTACTGTTGCGGGTCTGCCTATCCGACTACTGCTCCGGGGTGCGTGGGCCACCCTGTATGTACGCCAGACCACGTCTTTAAACAAAGCCTATTACTTCGTCTGGTCGGAAGAAACTTTTTCTTTCTGTCTGTCCGCACGATAACTCGAGAACAAATTGAGCGAGCGACCTGGGATTTTCAGGGTCGTTTTGTTCCACTAGCTATATGTACGCCAGACCACGTCTCCCGTAACAGGCTTCGCGATATCTCACGAGACGCTGTTACGCTGCGACGCACCTGGCGCACAGATAGCTAGGCCTGCGGCGCTAACACCTGACACGAGGTAATGGGAGGGTATTCGGGAGAGCCTTCCGGCCCCAAAATTTGACATACAGCATTTTTCGGGGACTTCTAAAGGAGGGTGCGGTTCGACGTCAACTGTGTGGTTTGAGTATTACTTCCTTCACAACTTTACAATGTAAGGCTTTTTTTACGACTTAATAGACCATTTGGTCGTTTTCACCTTATTTTCGTCAAGAAATGCCTCCGAGCACCCAAACGGTGCGAGATAGAGCAAAACGGAAGAAACTTTCATCCCTACTCCGACGCGTTACCCCATTCAAGGGATTCTACTCTTACGAACCATGTGCCTCCGCGGCCTATCAGGTATGAGAAACTGTCAGATCAGTTGCGAGCTCCCCTCCATGTTTGAGAGGTTAGGATCGGACCAAACTTCCATGGTAGTTTCTCATACTGGGCGGACGGCAACAGATAAATCAGTGAGTTTGTTCTTTTTCACTTGGGTTTTCCCGCTTTTTCACAAAAGTCCGAATGTTTTTCCGCGCCCAAGCTTTTTGAATTCTTTGTCGAAAATTAAGATTTACGTGTCTCGGCGATTTCCTGATTTCTCAAAATTGATGGATGCGCAACGGCCTCAAAGTGTTGCGGTAGTGACGGGTTTGTTACAATACTGAAACTTTATTTAAAATCGGTCGATTTTCGTCGTTCAAATCTCTATTTGCTGATTTGATGAGTATTGTTCAGAATGCAACAGGGGCATCCGCCTCGGGGTGGCAGAACAGGCGTCAAAAGGGCTGGAACGTGCAAAACACGCCCCAAAACCCGTTTTCACGCAGATGCTCATGCCCTACGTGCCCCCGGCATAGCGAACACAAAGTCTCTTGCGCATATGTTTTAAAGAAACATGCCCACAGAGTACGCCAGCCTGCAATACCAGCATGTCTACCACAAAGGGGCAGCCGAAATGCTCTTTATGTTCAATGATCTAATTTTCTTTAAAACTTCGAACGCATTGTATTGCCTGTATATCGAGGAAATCTCGGTATTTTGAGGTATCTTAAGAAAACATGAAAATTCTGTCCTCGAACAATAAACCCGATAGTCTGAGCGGTAGCCGAAAAAAAACCCTGCAAAACATACGCGGGAAAACGGAAAAACACACTCTCGACTTTGTACGACCTCTTACTTGGGCCCCAGACGACGCCATTTAATATAATTTGGGCCTAAATGCCGAAAGGAACATATTATTAAAGGCCCAATATGGGTGTCGTTTCCGCATGTTACAACATCTCTGATGCCGAATGTTAAGTCAAATGAACGATAAATCGACGTTGAATCGAACTGACCCAACGAAAGACCTGTTAAGATAGATCAGTTTTTCCGTTTTCCGTTTTTCCGTTTTCCCGCGTCAAGTCGACACTTGAAACCTATACACACGGAGTTCGTGGAGGCTCCGTATAAACACGCAGTTCCCGGGGCCTCGGTACAAACTAGGAGTTCAGCGGGCCGCCGTATAGCGTCGTAACTATGTTTTTTGAAAATTTCGAGTTATGAAGTGCGTCGAATAGAGGAAACCAAGGGCTATCGATCAGCGAAAACCGCATTTCGATATGTCAATTAGTTCAAAAGTAATTCTGGTATAAAAATCCAGCCGCCCATAAGGCGCAATGTAAATCCAAAACTTTGAAGCGCTATATCTCAGAAGTGACTTTCAAGCACTTACGACGTTATACGGGGACCCGCTGAACTGCGTGTCTGTACGGAGCTGCCTGGAACTACGGGTTTAGACGGAGACTCCACGAACTCCGTGCTTGTAAGTTTTAAGTGTCGAAGTTAACCCGGAAAAATGTCCAAGAGGACTTCCTTCCGACAATTTTGAAATTTTGATCATTTTGGTTCAAATTTTGAACAAATGCGTTAAAATCTCGGCTCCTATAGGTCGAAAACTTGTGTGCTGCGGGTCAAATCAAAGAGTAGGGTCTAGGGAACTCATACAAAAAAAATCCCGCTTTATATATGTTTTGCAGTTTTCTTCTGGTTTATGGCGTGAACCGCTTGCACCAGCAGTCAACGTGCTACCTGCGCACCCCCTCGACAGCAGATTATTACTACCGCTCGAAAGAAGTGTTCTTTTAATTTTCTGATTCGCAGAGGGTGATTCTGGTTGCTAGTGTGGCATCTATTAGAGGACTGGTGAACAGATAACAGAAAATACTGAGAGTGCCTCTATGAACAGGCAATTCAATGCGTTCGAAGTTTTAAAGAAAGTTAGATCATCAAACGAAAAGGGCATTTCGGCTGACCCTGTGTGGTAGGAGTGCCAAGATTAAAGGCTGGCGTACTCTGTGGGCATGTTTTAATAAAAATAAGCGCAAGATACTTTATGTTCACTTAGCCAGGGGCACGTGGCATGAAAATGGGCGTGACAACGGGTTTTGAGGCGTGTTTTGCACGTTCCAGCCTTTTTAACCCCTGTTCTGCAACTTCGGGGCAGTTGCCCCTGTTGCATTCTGAATAATACTCATGAAGAGAATCAAATAGAGCTATGAACGACGAAAATCGACCGATTTTAAATAAAGTTACAGTATTTTAAGAAAATCGTCACCACCGCAAAACTTTGAGGCCGTTGCGCATCCATTAATTTTGAGAAATCAGGAAATCGCCGAGACACGTAAATCTTTATTTTTGATAAAGAATCTAAAAGTCTTGGGCGCGGAAAAACGTTCGGACTTTTTAAAAAAAGCGGGACATCCTATTGCCGTATGTGTTCCGTATTTCAACATTTGACTGCCAGTAGATTGCCTCCAGATGGCGCTGCAGGCAGCGCGTCTCCAACTATGACGTTTCTGTTTTAAATGAGATTTGACTTAAGACAGGCTTTATTTTGCGCAGAATGTTTTCATTAACATTTGTCCGTCCTCACCGACTACGTATTTATTCAGAAATTTAACCGTATTCTAGAAGTAAATGGTTAATTTTTAACGCTCGGAGGTCGTACCTCCGACGTCTTGGGGTGTGGTGGCGTTCACATCCGCCAAGCGTCGGGACTCTGAGCGCTTCGCCATATTTTTGTAACAGCGGACTCTCTGCTACCAACGATCCGCGTCGTTTCAGTGGAAATGGCGTGAAGATCTACGCTTGTGTTTAAAAATCTGTACATATACGTTGCACATACGGCGCGTATACGTTGCGTATACGTTGCGTACACGTCACGTACACATACAGGTCTCTTTGGCACATACGTTCCCACATACAATTCGCATACCGTCAAAGTGTCATATTCCGGACAAATTTGACCGTTTTTCCTGAATATTTTTAAAACGGGTAGGGATATGAAAAATTCTAGCGGATTCTAGAAACGAGGCGCCAAGATATATATTTT